TGGGTTAAAAATCCAGTAATTCAGAGGGACAGAAGGAGCTGGAATTGTTGGTGGTGCTGCTGGGGAGCTTTGCTGTGGTTTTCCTGTTGTTGCTTCTCCTGCTTTTCAGGGTGACCACAGGTGGTGTTGGAGCTTAATCATCCCGAGGGATGGCTGAGGAATGGGGTCATGGAGTCATGGAATGGTTTGGGTTGTTGTTCCAATAGGGAAGGGACACCTCCCACTAGCCCAGGTTGCTCCAGCCTGGCCTTGGACACTTCCAGGGATGGGGCAGCCACAGCTTCTCTGGGAAAACCTGTGCCAGGGCCTCCCCACCCTCCAGGGAGGAATTCCTTCCCAATATTCCATCTCAATTTCCCCTCTTTCACTTTGAAGCCATTCCCTGTGTCCTGTCCCTCCATCCCTTATCCCAAATCCCTCTCCAGCTCTCCTGGAGCCCCTTTAGGCCCTGGAAGGGGCTCTCAGCTCTCCCTGGAACCTTCCCTTCTCCAGCCTGGCCTTGGACACTCCCAGGGCTGGGGCAGCCACAGCTTCTCTGGGAATTCCATCCCAGCCCCTCCCCACCCTCCCAGGGAGGAATTCCTTCCCAAAATCCCACCTACCCCTGCCCTCTGGCAGTTTGAAGCCATTCCCTGCTGTCCTGGCACTCCAGGCCCTTGGAAACAGTCCCTCCCCAGCTCCATTTATTCCTCATGTCCTGTGCACCGGGTCAGGGAAGAATCCAGGAATAGTTTGGGTTGGGAGGGACCTTCAGGCTCATCTCATTCCCCCCCCTGCCTTGGACCACAGACGAGGCTTTTGAGGCTTTTGCTGCTTTTCCTTCCCAATCTATTCTTGGCTTTTTTTTTTTTTTTGGCTTTTCCACTGCAAAAGCTCAGCGTTCAGGTACTGATGGAGATCAGAGACTTGTGAGAAGCTGTTCAGCCCCCAAACTCCATCTGCTTGGTGTTTTTTTCTTGGTTTTTTTTTTTTTTTTAATTCTGCTGCACTAAATAAAGGCAAGGAGATAAAAGTCTCTGCTTGGCACCCACTGGAAATTCAGCTCGGAACGGGAGCAGGGATAGCAAAACAAAGACTTGGAGGAGAATTACATCACCAGCCTGAACGTTTCAAAGCTCCTTCAAGCTGTGCTGCCGAGGTGCAAAGGTCCCAAAAAGCCTTTCAGGATGCCCAGCTCAGCCCTGCTGTGGGATTAAGAGCCCAGTCCTACCTGTTGGAAGCTTAGGGAGAGCCTGGGGGAGGGCACAGCTCCAGATCCCCTCCCCTGGCACTGCCCCCAGGCTCAGAGCAGGACTTGTGTAAGTCAAGGTGAGAGAGAGGAGAAGTGGGGGTTGGAGTGGGCAGTGCCTTAATCCGGGAACTGAAAGGTGTAAACTGAGAATTCCTGGCCTTGGAACAGCCTGTTGGGGATGTGGGAGCAGGGTTTTCATTCCCCAGTTCCAGCTGAAGGGTGAAAATAATTTCAAAAAAGCCCCCAACAAACCCTCCCACAGCTGGGCAGCTTCAGTTTGTGCCACTCCTCGTGGGGGGTTTCTCCCCTCAAAATAAGAGAGTTTGGGCTTTTTTTCCATGGCAGAAAAAGCCTGAGCAGGGAAGGAAGAATCTCACCCTGGATAAAAGCTGATTGACAAAGAGGAGGAGCCAGGGGGAGATCACAAAAAGTCGTTTTCCACCTTCAGGAGGAAGAAAAAACACCCAAAAGTGGGGAAAAAAGGAGGCTCTGGGGGGACCTTCTCACCCCCTGACAGGAGGGGGGAGCCAGGGCAGGCTCTGCTCCCAGGGAACAAGGGACAGGACAAGGGGAAACGGCCTCAAGGGGAGGTTTAGATTGGATATTAGGGAATATTTCTCCATGGACAGGGATTTTCAGGGACTGGGAGACCCATCCCTGCAGGGATTTACCAGCCCCATGGATGTGGCTCTTGGGGACGTGGTTGGACTCGAGGATCTTGGAGATCTTTTCCAAGCTAAAGGATTCTGTGATTCTACGAAAATAATTGGGGGGGGGGGGGGGAGATTTCCCTTCCCAAAATCCCACAAAACCCAGAGTCAGATCCCCCCCCCCGAGGCTGGAGCTGACCCTGCTCCGCGTGGGCTGCTCAGCTCGTTGTGAAAGAGGGGAAAAATCCTGGAGCAGGAGCTCTTGGCACGTTTCCCACCGTTTGTGCCACTGCAGATGAGGCCTTTTGGCCCCAGTCAGTGCCTGGGGGAGCTGGGAATTGCTGATTTTTTTGTATTTTTGTGTTTTCCCCCTTTCCCTCCAAACGTGCCCAGCCCGTGCCCCTCGCCCCTGTGTCACCCTCCCCGTGCTGTCACACACCTGCTGCCTGTTCTCCCCCTCCAGGCTGAAGCTGTGGAGATGGATGGATTCCAGGCAGACACTGAGGAAGATGAGGAAGATGATGACTGCATGATTGTGGATGTACAGCCAGCAAAAGGTGGGAATGTGAAGGGACAGCAGTGCCTTGGCTGAGCAGGGACAGTGTGCAGCTCAGCTGCCCCTTTTTCACCATCCCTTGAGCTTTTCTCTCTCTGTCTTTCATTCCAAACACTTCTCTGCTTGTTATCATTTTTTTTCTGGATGCTTCTTTGCTATTTTTGGTCTTCTCTAACCTGCTCCTGCCTTTTCTTTCCCTCCTCCTCCTCCTCCTCCCTCTGACTGCCTAAATAGCACAAAACACTTGTGACTGGCACTCGGCTGCCAGCGTTACCTGTTTATTTCTGGGAGGAGAAAAGTGAACATGAAGGGTTTGCACCAGCAGATCCACTCATTCCTGGGGAATGTTGCTGCTCTCTGGGGTGCTCAGAGCCCTTCCAAGGTGCAGGTTGTGAGGAACAACCAGGTTGTGCTGAAGGAACAACAGCCAAGCTGGGATCTGCTGCCCTGCTCCTCAAATCCCAGCGGTTTGCTGGTTATCTGTGTCCCAGTTATCCCTTGGAAAAACGGGCTTCAAAGCCCCAGTGGTGCAGTGGATCTGTGCAGGAGGTGGGACGAGGATGTGGAGCAGCTCCTTTGATCTCAGGGAGGTTTTTCAGGCGCACGAGTCCACCCCGGGCACGTGACGGGGCTTCAGAACCTCACGGCTCCTTCCCTGCTGCTCTCCCAAAAGATCTCCTTCCCTGCTGCTCTCCCAGAAGAGCTCCTTCCCTGCTGCTCTCCCAGAAGAGCTCCTTCCCTGCTGCTCTCCCAGAAGAGCTCCTTCCCTTGCTGCTCTCCCAGAAGGGACCTGGAGAGGTTGGATCCATGGGCTGGTTCCAAGGGGATGAGGTTCCACTAGGCCAAGGGCCAGGTCCTGCACTGTGGCCACAACAACCCCCGGCAGCTCCAGGCTGGGGACAGAGGGGCTGGAGAGCAGCCAGGCAGGAAGGGAGCTGGGAGTGGGGATGGACAGGGAGCTGAACAGGAGCCAGAGTGTGCCCAGGTGGCCAAGAAGGCCAATG